GGCTTTGGTGTGGCCATTTTAAAGTCAGGATAGGAACTTAACCAGGCTCTTTATGCTGAAGTCTTTGAATCGAAACAATTTCGGAAAAATGATAGGGGTAAAATTCCTTTCACAAAGGTGGTAAAACTTTACTTATATTTAGGTGAAAATATTCTCTCTCATGGGGTCATGAGTGAGTTTGTACAGTTTTTCTTCTTAATAAAGAAAACCATCATTTAAGAACTGAACTTTATGTTTACTTTGTTTGTTATTGCTTGATATTTAACATTTATTAATGATCTGAAATATTTACAACAGGAAAAAAAAAGACGTATGAAATGTGGAAATACGTTTTTCACATTTCATACATGGAAAAACTTACGAAATGTTTTTTCATATGTGTTGACAGAGGAAGATGCTAACATCTTCCTCTGTCCCCTTTGGTGAGTCTCTTTTTCACTTCTTTGTTTAAAGCAAACACAGAAAGGTGAAATGATCTGAAATGCAAACAATTATTCATTGTATAGACCGCTCACAGATGAAATCCCTTTTCAATATTTACACAATGTTTTTATTGCAAAATTGTTGAATCTGATCGTTGGTAGAAAAATATGAGTATCCAATTACCTTCCACTGAAGCTGACACTGCACTGCTTACTAAAAACAATTGCTTGGTAATTTCTACCCTGCTTAATATTTAATAAACGCCCAGAAGACAAAAGGCAGTTTTGTATCTTACTATTGTTTAAATGTAGCATTTTTATGTCCACATTGGTAAACAAGCATAAATACATATTTAAAAGCAAATCCGCACACGCAGCTTAGTCTTCCCATTCATTTGCTAAGTAGGCGGCTGTAGGATGTAGGAGGCCACGAAGCAGAGGAGACGGAGTGATAAGAAGCGTTGGGGTAACAGAGAAGGTGATTAAAAGCTCAGGCTGCAGATGTTTCTGGAACACTTCAAAGTGTAACACCTGCCAGCGCCAGTGCTGAGCGTGATGCATTATTGAGATGGTGCCCACCTGGCACCTGGCTCTGACATCACACGCCCTGTCCACCTGGCTCGGCGGCATGCACAGGAGTGGCATTTTGGGTCACAGTTGCAGAAAGCTGGCTCTCGGTGAGATGAAGGGCATCTGGGGGATACAGCGCACATTCCTAGGGCAGACCTCAAAGGCACTAAACTGGGGCATGTAAACTTAGTGTCACGCAAGAAAGTGAAGCGTGTGGGGAAAAGCTTTGCCGGATGGGAACATGTTCTTGCTTGCATGAGTTATTTATAAAACAAATGGAGTTTTAATTTTTTATTTGAGTTGTGTCTGCTTGTTTCAGTTAAATATAGAGAGATTTTATATATAGGTGAAGAGTCGGGAAGATTAAGCGTAATGAGCACACAAAGCAAACTGGGAAAGTTTTGAGTCATATCTCATTTCCTTATTGAAATTCTGAAATCTTCAAAATTATGCAGAAAATGTTTCTTTAGATTATATATTCTATTGTTTTGTCTTTTTAGCCTCGCATCAAAAAAATGAGGACTTTTAAAACTCTTTATGCATCATATTTTATGTATGAAGAAGTCAGCAAATAGTTATTTACATGACATACAAACAGGATGCAATGTAGAATATGTCAAAGAAAAACAGAAAAGAAAACAAAATATGGGCTGAACCTGGGAAACAGAGATGTATAAAAACAAAGGAAAAGCTAAGAACTGAGGAAAATGATGAAAGAAGAATTATAATTTATGTTGAACAAGTGCCGTAAATGCTAACTAATGGCAATCTGGTAAAAAAAAAAAAAAAAAAGATTTACCAGAACGTGTAAATGGTAACATAATCCAAAATCTGTATTAATTCTAAATGAAAATGCAATAAAACTACAAATAAAATGCGGTTAAAGTTAAATTAAGAATTGATAATGTTATTTATTCAAAAAGGCAAACAAAAGAGATACATTCTGTTTGCTTTTTAAAACGTCAATAGTCCTCTAGGGTTTCAGGAAGCTGTTCCACATGCAAGAGCTGAGATAGGAAAAGTGTGTCTTTTTGTGATTCTTTCTTCTCTATTTGAGCATTACACAAAGACTTTACAAAAGACTGATCCAGATCTGACCTGGATTGGTTGTACAACAAAAGTAAATCTGATAAGTATGTGGAATGTGGCTCATGGAAGATTTTGAAAGTCATTTGAGGCACTCTTCAAATGACTTTTAAAAGTCAATTCAGTTCTAAAATGAGCAGACTTCAAAAGTAGAGGGAATTCTCATATGCTCTTTGTTAGTATTTGACTTTTGCGGAGGGGCTTTCTTTTTAGGAAAAGGAGAAAAGAAAGAGTTGGGTTTTTAAAATGTTCTGCATGTGTTAAAAGTGCATGTTGAAGTCTCCCCATTGGACTGAGAAAGAAACAGTCAAACTTTAGGATTGTTTCAGTTGCTAAAATATACTCTTAGTAATAATTTTAATGTGAGATCAGAAAGTCAGAATAAATGTACGATCAAATACAACACAGAGATTTCTAATTCGATCTGAAAAGTTAATCCTCTGAGTTTTTTATTTTTCTGAAGGTCATTTTACAGTATTAAAACTTTTAAATCAGCCAAATGGAAACAATTCCCAAACTCCTTTATGAAAGATATTATTTTTACACACTTATAATATGATGCAGAAAGTTTGTTACAGGTGTAGTATGTAACTTTTATAAATAATAAATATATATTTGTACATATTTGTCAAAACTGACAGAATGTTATGAGGCAGGCAATCTGTGAAAAGATTGATCTCTTCCACCTCCTCCGTGAGCTACTACTGCTGTCTGAAGAAACTCGCTGCACCAGACCAAAAACAGCAGACCAGAACCAGTAGGAAGGTCTTAGCGCTGTCAATCAATGTTGCTCAATGTGCTAATGGTGGAGAAACAACATACTGTTACAGACAAACCGTTTATCTGCCGTCATTGGCAGTCATGCGAGCTCGTCTGAACATTTTTTTTCACAGATTATCTGTCTCATACCATACAGCCACAACATAGCAAGCATGCAAAAGCATAATTTTTTTTCATAAGTTGCATACTACAGCTTTAAATACAACACAGAAAAAGTGTAAAAGCAGCAAAATTCCAGAAAGAAATGTAAACATGAAACCATTGATCAAGAGCAAAGCTTGAAAAAGACTGACTCCAAAATAAAATGAAAGAACAGATTTTGTTTCTTCATATTTCTCTGTCTAATATTTCAATAGCCCTCTTCAATACAAATATTTTAGAGGTCACTTAGTGTGCTTTTTGTGTATGCGTGTTTCTCTCCTGCACGTGTCCCCTGACACCTGTACTCTCGCAGGGTGTGAGGAACAGACAGAGGCCAGAGCTGCAGTCACAGGTCTCAGACCAGTGGGGTGTGAAATGAATCGCAGAGCCAACATACTCTGCCCCTGCTGCACACACTTGAAATCACCGCAAGGCCATGTTTGTGGGCCCTGCGAGAGTGAGGGGAATAAAGGGGAGCGCAGAGGAAGGACACAGAAAAGGGGAAAGAGGAGGGATGAGAAAATGTCATGCACTGTGGTTTTCCAGCAGCATTAAAACCACCCTCAGTAAATGGAGCTTGTGTAAATATTCATGAAGGCTGGAACACTTCCTTGTGCACAGTGCTGTTTGGAGTAATTGTCGTTTTGTTTCAGTGATGCACTTTAGTTCGAGACCTTAAAGCTGCATAGCTGAAGAACACTGCCCACAGCAAACACAGCCCGACGAGCTCCAGGCTTGCTGCGCTTCAATTACTGTTGGCACTATTTATTCATCCAGAAATTTTCACCTCCAAACATTTGTCTAAATCACCTCCCACGATAAAGTATCTAATTATGCATATTCATCATCAACTTTAAATGATCCCTAACATTAATTCCAAACATATTCCATGATTTGCTCCAACCCAAATTCACATTGCGCTAGGATGCTTAAACCAAAGGCTAAGGATTGCAATAATCCATTCTCTCCTTAAACCTGATTTTAATTTGGGAATTAAAACCGCCTCATTTTGTAGTCTTTTTAAAGCCCTGGATTATGTACCTCAAAATGCAGAGGTGATGTGAACTGACTGATGATAAACTTTTTTTATCCAGTGGCGAAACACATGAGCACCAAGTCAAGAGGATTTGGGGTCAGAACGACAAAGAGAATACAGAGAAAATGGCAGCAAGAGCTCCATTAAAGGGTTTGTCAAGGAAATACGTTTAATGATAGAAGTAGTAGTTTCAATGTCAAACGAAGGCAACCAGAGAATGCAAAATAAAAATGGCGGAAATGCATTAAGAAGTGGCTCAATTCTGGAATGAGATGCATTTAAACAATGCAGGTCTGGAGCAGGTGGACTTTTTTTTATAGAAAAACAAAAGAAGTGCAGAAAAAAAAGCTGTTATCAACGACTCAGTTCTGAACTGAAATTATTCTTATTAAATATTAACACAAGCAGTTACAAGGATCCCTTTCACTTATGAGGGATTCATCTCTCCTAAGAAAAACAGCATGCTAGTGTCAGAGCATTGAGTCGCGCCTCAAAGACAATATCAAAAAGGAGATACTTGTTTGGAACTTAAGAAGCAAATATTATGAAACATTTCCTATAATAATTCGATCGAGTTAAACGCTGTTTTTGCAGCATTCGCGTGCCTCGTGTTTTAGATTCGTGATGCTCGCTCCTCTCCAGAAAGCCTTCAAGTTCCACAGATAATCAAGGAACGATTCCACTCAGGTGTGTTGGACCGAAAAGCGCGAGCGGCCTTTGGACCGACGCTATTATTACCGACAAGTATTATCCGATGCATATCGACATGAATCACATCAAACTTTCACAATCTCAAGTTGCAGCTGTCACGCGAAAAAAAAACAACTGTTCTGAGGCAAAGGGACCGCACCGGTCAACCGAGACGGCTTTCTGCTCCTCGATTGGCTGAACCCACCGCTGATCATCCGCGGCACCTCCCACAGACGCACAGCGGCAGCGCCGCTTTTCTTTTTTCCTCTTCTTCTTCTTCTTTTTTTTTTTTAAACCCACAATGATATTCAAGGCACTTGCGGCTCGCCTGCGACTGTAGAGAGGGGGCTGGGGGGAAAAGCACCCAGGAAAAGAGAGAACCTCACCTCCTCATACAACGAATGAGGTAGGTAGGGACCGGGAGGCTCAAGAAGCGAGAAGAGGCTGTGGAGTTAAAAGAGAGGCAGCAGCGGCGGCGGCGGCTCAAGAGCTCCAGCGAGGAGTGTCTAATTGCGTGCGCTTTATTAGAAAGTGTCTCAATTTGAAGAGATTCGACATGTCATCGTCCGGGAAAGACAACAGCGTTGCCCAGCACGCCAATTACGTGGGACCTTATCGTTTGGAGAAGACGCTCGGGAAAGGACAGACAGGTTAGTTGGGACAGCTTGCTGTCCGCATCCCCCTCCTGTCCCCCTCTTTAATTGCACAATTTGTTTTCAAGGCGCTCCGCAGCCGAGTTGAAATTTGGTGTGCGCAGGTGAAAGGTAACTGGATGCTTGAGTTACGAAACACCTGCCCAGTGCGACGCTGGTGCGTCTTGTCATTTTCAGCAGTGATCTGACATAATCATTGTTCACATAGTAGGACGAGGAAGGACTTGTGTCTGATGTTGCTCTACACGGGTTTTCCCTGTTTGTGCGTTGGCGTTGGATCGAATCTGCGTGTGGAACAGCGTCAAACAGACATGATGACAGTGCGATGGGCAGTGAAAATCAACTTTTCTGTTTAATGTGTGTGTGTGTGTGTGTGTGCGTGTTTGTTATCTGGGACGGCTCCTCCCGCTTGTTTGCGCACCCTTTGAGTGTTCCGTGATTGGAGCGCAACGCCGTTAATCCCGATTTGCCTGATACATTGATCTATTCTTAGTCCGCAGGCGCACAAGGAGAGCGAGAAAGAGAGAGGCAGGCGTTTCTCCTACAGGCAGCGACTGCAATTCTGAGCAGAACATCCCACATTTACACAACACGAGCTGCTTGCAGAGCCGCACCAGTCTACATTCAGACATCCTTTCGTGGGGATGTCAGTGTGGGCTTCCCGAATGAGAAGCGCATGCTTTCTGTCAAACCTGGACAGCAGTGACGGTGCATTTTTCTGAAGTTGCATATAGCACATGTGCTGTGCAGTAGTCAGAGGATGCCCTGGGAACAGGAGGCAGTGATGTTTCACGCTCTCCTGAGGAGATGCTTGTGTGTTTCAGTGCAGCCCTGGCGCTTGCGACTGGACAGCAAGAATGCCTTGAGCTCAAATAGATGCAGCAGAGCCATGTGAAAGGAGAGGCAGGTACAGTCCTGCCTGTGTGTGGGTGTGTGTGTGTGTGTGTGTGTGTGTGTGTGTGTGCAGGCAGAAAATAGCAGGACTGATTGCAGCTCCCTCTCTCAAAGCTCTCCTGCCTTTAAAATGAGGAGAGAGAGTTGGACTTTTCCTCTCCTCTGCATCCATCTATGGGTAGATTTTCCTCCCATCTGTTGTCTAAAATGGCTACAATAGGCGTTACTTTCCCCAGCTCAGTCCAGCTGGTCACGCTGAGTTGCCATGTGTGTAAATGTTTTTTTTTTTTTTGTGCACTCCTAAACGGTATGCTTTCTTCCAAATATTCTCCTGGTCTCTTAATTTACCTGGCCACCAACTTGCTGTTTAGCAATGGGTCTTAACTACTCTGTGGTCCTGTGGTTCTGTGTATGTTTGCTGTTATAAATAATGCCAAAGACATGCTTTCTTTCCAACATGACAATAAAATCACTGTCACCATACCTCAGTTCAGTAGAGAAAGTTTGATATGTAAAATTGCTCTACTGATATGCAGTGGAATCAGAGCTATGTAACATTAATCAAAATCTCTAGGGAATATTCTTTGTGCCTTGTTGAACCAATCCCATCAAAAAACGACCTCGTTTTAAATGCAAAGGAGGACTGAGCTAATATGACCTTTAGTCTTTTTTCCATGTTTTACTTGTTTGTATTAACATCAAGTAATAGTGAAATTGGCTTTATAGGCAGTAGAAATAATAGTTTCTGTTTTGTTTTAAAATCAAATTATTTTAGATCTGGTTATACATTTTCAAATAAAAAAAGTTAAGAATGCAAAAACACTGGTTGTGATACATTTCAGGCTGTATAGAAGTTGCTCTTTGTTTTTTTTTTGTTTCCATAAACGCGTCCCCCTCACTTTTATTTTGCTTGCAGGAGGAGCTTTTACTCAGACTCGTCTTGCTTTCTCATTGCCCACTGCAGCCTCCCTAATGGGTGTTTGTGCTAGTATCGAGCTGGTATCGTCTGCTTGGTACAGACGTTTAATTATGTGGTGTCACTGAGATCATCGTTTCTGTTCACGGGAGAGCCCGGGCCAACGCTGATGGATTTTTCATGCTCACTTCAGACGTCAGTTCCATGTGGGTGTAAGAATGCAAGCTACAGGTCAGCTAGACATGTTTGACTTCAACATATTAGAGTTTCGGGACACACGGTAAAATTCACTTTCATGTGGAACACATTTGATCGAGCTTTTCAGTAACATTTTTCTTTTCTCCTATGAACCAGCTGAAAACACAGCATTAGCCAAGTCTGCTTGTGCTTTGTTGGAAAAAATGATTTGGCCAATGGCATCCGAGTCTTTCTTCTTTCTTTCTGCTGTGGTTTTACCTATGCCAAATGTATTCAGATTAATGCTGGTGTGTAACATCCATTTGCCTGTTAACCATTTGTTAATCTGTCAGATCTTTTTCCCAGGCCTCCGTGAAAAGGGTTGGCCTGGCATCTATGAGTGCCCAATGGCTCTGGCTCGGTTGTGACTGGCAGCAGGGACTGTCCAGTGAGCTAAATCCCTTGTGAGGATTCCCGGGCCAGGGTCGGCTTGCGTTGACACAGGAGGGAAAGCGGAAGACATCTTCTTGATCTGGAGCGTCAACTCAGGAGTTGTGCAGGTCCTTTTTTCATTAAGTGATTAGAGCAGTCCTGAGTCACACACACTGCCACCATGGCAGTTCTGATTTGGATCCTGATCTAATCCCCCTACACAGCTGAAATCCGCACAGCTCTCTCTCAACATTCACGTGGCACAAAGGTTGCACAGGCTGTCTTCTCATAGCTTCACACATTATCACCACATACAACAGCGGATATTTACCATTGTTTCATTACAAATAAATGGATGGTATGAATTCCAGGATCTTCTCCCAAATGCTTGTCCTGCTAGTTTGAGCAAGTATTTTTTAAAGGGGAGACCGCCATTACCCTTTAATCTCTGCAGAGTGTTTGTATGACTCCTCCTTTGTCAGGTGTGCATTCAGCCCTGAAAAGGTCTGCAGATATGGAGTGTCTGCATGGCTGCCTGCTGATTGGCGCTTAAGCTATAGAAGAATAAGGCCTGTGTTTCTGTGGTTGATTGGTAGAACCTGATCAATACTGCATTTCTATTTGATGGACGTTGTGCAGGTTTTCTATTGTATGTGGCAAACATCAAAACATATTGCCTACTGGCATTCAAAGTGAACAGGGATGTTATCTTGACATGTGCTGCCAACCTAAACATTTTATTGACCTATCTGACCCAGTTCATTTAAGCTTTCCAGCTTAAATTGTACTCTGTGGTGCACGCCTCAAACCTGGAAGACATTTGGTAGTCCATAAAATAATCTGTGTAATTGTTTTGATAAATACATTTAAAACCCAGGATTTAATTATTGCTTAGCTTTGTGAGTTGAGCTGGTACAATGTATGATTATATAATAGAACAATTTCATGTTTATTATGTAACTTTGACCTGCTTTTTGTCATTCTTTGTGTTAGACTACTCTTAAAAAACATCTGAGACCTCTAATTTGTGAAAATAAGCTTTAGGAATTTTTCTCCAAATGTCCCAGAAAAGTAAGTGGAAAGATCTAATGGCATTGTTGTATAAAAACCCTATCACTTCACGCTAAACTTTATGAATCTGTGAGTTTGTGTAAAAGCTGACTAATTAGGACTGTTTTGGTGAAGGGCAAGAACTAGTTATTATGAAGTAGGTGGTCATAATTTAAAGATCTATTGGTAGGAGTGGAAGATTAAATTCGGCTCATATGAAAAGTCAATGTTATATCAGATGAGCTCAAATTTTAGCCATGCTTTTGGGGAAATTTTTGTTTAAGAACAAGGCGGAATGAATAGACACTAGATTATGTATTGCTGATTTTTGTGCTTCTTATGAATCTATAAAAAAATAGAGAAAATCTGAGAAAATAAATCTCAAAATTTGCAACATGCTGATGGTGGAGTGTCAGAGCAGGAATTTCTTAAAAAGATGGAGGCCAATTTGAAGGCATCAACTTGTAAAGTTATTTTTGAAAAGTACATTATTTTTATAATGACTGAAAGTAACATAGTTACTTGATTGTGCTTTGAAAGGGCACCGTCTGCCTGGAAAATGTTTAATACCATTAAGACTGGCTGAATAACTGCTTTGTTCAGTGTTAAACCCTGAGTTGCCATTACTTTGTTCCTGAGAGTTGTTTTACAGGGGAACAGAAGGCTTGTTATTTAAGAAAAACATTAAATGTTAATCCTTTGTGAAAAATTGTTCTAAACACAAATGCTGACTGGCTGAGAGGTGGGGTTGGATTAGGGGGATCTTTTTATACTTTTCATAAATCGATAGTAAAATCATTTCTGCTTCAGGGACTTTGAAATTTACCGTTTATTTGACAAAAAGCTTTTTGTGACATTGTTTTGGTTTTGATCGTTTTGTCTCTTAAGCACTCCTTGTTGGGGACTGAGGACTTTTTGTTTGGGGTTCTTTGTTACAAGGCACTTAAACCAGTATCCTGCTGTTCTTGTTGTCTTCATGTCAGAAGAAAGGCTTACCAAGTTGTAACTCTTTCTGTGGACTTCACTTGACTTAACTCTTATACCTTTGGGGTCTGCTCGTGAATTTTTTTGTATATTGGTGTAGAAAAACCTCTGACTTTTTCTTGGTCTGTTTCATTAATGCAAACAGGTGGATACATTCATTTGAGTCTTTATATCTGATAAATTGTGCAGCATTTCTAAAACTGTTACAGCAGTATGGTAGGTTAGATAAACTGCTGCTCTCAAAGATTTCCTCTCAGTTGCAGGAAATTCACACTCGGCACAGGGTATTCCTCATGATGGCAAGGGAGAAGGAAACATTTAGTTTATGCTGTCAATAAAAAGTTACTCGGCAAATCTACAGTGAAGTATTGCATTTCAGTCTACATGCTTGTGTGTTGCCAATGACATGTGGCTGTGCTCATGCTCTCGTTGACCCAGAGATTTTGCGCTGTTTAAGATAATTGTGAAACAGGTGCTACTCTAACTTGGGGGAGGAGGAGTGGAGAACTAAAGATCTGCAATGATGGGCCTGTGTTGTTCGTGG